TGACACGTCTTGAATCGACCTGCCATCTCTCACTGTCGCCGCGGCCCTTAGCAGAGAGTTGGTCGAAATGTGCACCATCCAACCAACCCAATGACGAGGAGAGTGTGCAGGTGTTTCTCTTATATACCCTACTAGGGATCCGTAGAACCACGGATCTGTTTTTGCGCCCAACGCTGAACGCAGGAACAACATCGTTGGCGAGCAGTGTACGTTGTCAGTTGGGTAGATTCTTGTTGTCGGTGCCCCCCCCCCCCCCCTCCCTCCCCTTCCTCATAATATGGAGTACCAACGGCAAATCAAAAAAAAAAGTTTGAACAGATGAAAAGTGAAGTGGATTCGATACTCGGAGTTGAAATGCATTTCTTTGACGTTGTCGTTTCTTTCCGCTAGTTGCATACCATTATGTGTCACCATGCGTGCTCTTCAATGGACACGGCCATAGTGAAGGCGATGGGCCAGTAGAGATCAATGGTGAGGGGTCAATAAACTCAACGTTTGGTCAAAAGGCGATTTAGCCAAATCGATTTTGAGAGTCGTGAGATGTACATGAAAAAAACTAATGTGAAATTTAGAATAAAAATTTGTGTTGACCATATAACTGCGACTAGTCTAGCATGTACTCCTTGTATTACATAATGGGAGCCTTCAAATTAGTGCAAAACAACTTTTTTCATGAATGCACTTCCGGAAAGAACTAGCGAATCCCTAGAATGTTGATTCAATATTAATCTTCTCAGCTGAAACTGTTTAATTCTGTCATGAAGTGTGTCTGTCGAAACGAACACGACCAATCAATATTCCAAATGATGTGAAGGCTTAGCGATGATGTTATATCGGCAGGTAATACCTGAGGTCTTGAAAACTCATTCTTCAATTCTCGTGGAAATGAAGCTGCAAAACTAAGGGGAATTGAGGATTCATCATACGACTGGATTCCCCGTAAGCAGGACTATCCATTAATCTATCGTTCAAAGTAAATGGCTGGAAAGAAGTTGTAAATACTTGAAAAGTGATAATTGTGAAAAGTGATATTTCGAAACGCTGCTTCCAGCTAAAGTGTTGAAATCATATCAAGGAAAATATCGAAATGACCAGCATCCTGTGCGCGCCTCAAATACAGTGCCACTCATCTCTTCCAAAAATTAGTTACAAGAATTCAAGGTGAACTAGAGGACTTACAATGCTGTTCTATCCTCATTTATGTCTCGAGGTGCTGAGAGACACAATTTTCGTTCTTCCTCATAATGAAGGCAAAAAATGACGAAATCAACAAATTATTGCACATTTGGAGTCTTCGCGAACAGAGTTGTCGATAGCCAGGGCTCTAACTTGATAGATGTACTTGAGCAAAACATATAGCTGAGCGACGGCTTGCGACGGATAATCTGTAGCGGAAGGATTAATCTGTCGCAAGCCGTCGATTACCACGATTTGGTAGCAGAATTGTCAGGTTGCGCGAAACTGCGCGTTCCAAATTGGACAAATGCTATCATTTTTACTGCCGAGAAACTTACCGCGATTGAGTACCGTCGTTAAGTCATTCGAAGAACTGTCACTCTTTTTTCAGAAAACATTACAAATCATTACAGTGTAGGAACGGTTCGACTTCAACGAACAGTCTGAAAAGACCCTATGTTAGTACTGCTTATGAAGAATTGGTTGCACCTTGACTCATTGATACCCCACTCAGGTTGAACTTCGGACTATTTCCTGAGGTGTACAGTCAGTATGCAATAACACTGAAATAACACCGACTTTTTGAATCCACTTCTGTGACAGGTTCCAATACATCGTTCGCTTCTTTCTACATCCCCTTTTATTTGCCATATGTCACAAAACTCTTTTCACATCGCTATCTATAATTCAATTCAGAAAAAGGTTCATAAGAATTCACATTTTCTTCGCAAGGAACAAAAATAGATTACTTGTGCGATCTAGATTATTGGTTCCAGTTAAGAGTTGTGGTACCCTATTGTAGAGCATAGAATCGCATCTGAACTTCCTTATTCGACAAATCGAGGTAAATAGGAGTGTTGATCACCAACCTACCTGTAGTCTTTTTATTTTGGTCCTCGGGTCTCCTTTCACTAACTTACTCCCAAAATCGCTAGTTGTGCCAGCTTGCACTTAGTGACGAGAGATTCCTGGTTAGACACTTCTCATCTGTAGGTACAATTAGAATTTGATCTAAGTGATATTTGGAAATTCGTTCAACATTGCCTACAGAAATCTTTTTCCTCTTGTCAGACAAGAATATGTCTTGATCACAAATCGACTCAATGCAGCGCTTGGGACATAAGGATATCAAACTTTTCAGTGGATCTCAAGTCATTATTCAAACAGTAGTTAGTTTGAATTCCAAAGGGTATTACATCTTGATGTCAGCAGCGAAATAGAATGCAACGCAATAATCCAGTTCAATACATCAATAACATCTTGCCTAATCCTTCGCAGCGGAACCTGCATTTCTAACGCATGCAAACAATCAACGACTTGCATAATTGACATTACCACTCGATGATCTCATATTTTCTTTGCCTCAACGTAACGATGGCACATTTTATTTGCAGAACTTCATTGTTCGAGAATGCTTCCTATAAGAAATCATGTGAGAATACTGCGCGGCTCGGAAATCTCAGCGAGCCTTTGTCAGCGATTTCGGTCTAGCACTGCCATGATCACTGTTGACTTGTAAGACCTCTATCTATTCTACCACGCAGGGATCAAGTCGTGAATGAAAGCCAGAATCATCTCGGCAGTCTAGCTCGAGCTTTGACCACTTAGCTTCGAACACTGTGCTACATTGTGCACCTGAACAAAAATTATTGCTTTTTTCGTGCGCGAACAGAATGGGCTGCATACCCCATCCCACAAAGTGAAAGCTCGATAAAGGGTCGAACTTGACACCACAGGGCTCTTTTTGCCTGCCCTCTCTTTGTTTTTTGTGAACCTAGTTTTCTTACAGGCGCGATAACATGGGACGAATTTCAAAATATTCAAGGAAGGTCTGCAATTTTTCAGGTGCAGGACTAAGCATTGAAGCTTTTCGGTCAGCTATCCTGCTATCAACTCCTGAGGGAAAGAGTTAAACTAATCATCTCACCGGACTTCTAGGCTTGAACTATGATGGTCGTACTTGACCAAAACCGTTGAGGGACCGGATTTTAATCGCTATCCTATCCTGCTTATTTGCTTATTTATTGTGCACACGAAGGTATTTTCGATTACGAAATCAAAGGATAAATCGTATGTAAACTCATAACTGAACTCATAATGTACTGAAAATTATAGCACTACAAAGCTCATACGAGCTCATAGGCACAAGCTCCTAGCTCATACGCGTAAGCATAATAGCTTTTGCCCCGAAAATATACAGGTATTTGAGTACTAATTGAGCTGAAGAGACCCAACTTCTCAATCAAATGGAAGCACGGTGAAGCTCCTAACAGCTCAGCGAGCTAGAATTGAGGCCCTTCAACACAACCCAAGAGTGAAAGGATATAACTCTTCCGCAGAGTGATTTCCTCGAACGTTTAGGCGTTCAGACTCATGAGGAAATGAGGGTCTTTGTCAAAAACCTAGCTCTTTCTTGCTGTCAACATGAGCTCTACACCAGTGAGGAAAGATGTGCAAGGACATGACAAAAGCACCTTGAAGGGTAGCAAATTGTTAATGCGCCGCCTACCGGAAGAAGAAGAACTTCAGAACAAAAATTTCAAGTATCAGCAGACACATGCTCACTCTAAATGATAACAAATCCAATTGTGAATGCACTTTTGATTTCTAGGCGCATATTTTGATACAAACACACGTACCGGATTGGGTGACATCTTCGCCTCCCTCTTCGGAAATGATAGAGATTCACTTCAACATACAATGAACGGCAAAACATACATATATGGAAGCACTTACCAAGAGTCATGCTTCCCAGTAGGAATCAATATTTATTAGATGTATCGTGATTTTCTTGCTTGACAAACTCCGAGCAGTTTAGAAGCTAGGCCGAATATCTTCATAAGGAATGAACACCGTACTAACCATGGGACTTGAAAAGGAGACTCAAACAAAAGGCATAGTTCTGAATGCTCTCCACGGATATGGAAATGGGATTTGCAAAATGGCTTCTCAAAAAAGTTATGAGGGCTTGAATTTCGCTTAACGGTAGCACTAATTGGGAGAGCAAACAGGTCGCTTCGATATTAAGCGTCGATGTGTCATAGGGGTAACACTCTCGCTCCACTAGCCGAGGTTCAGGGTTGCAACCCGTCATCGTCGAGATTTTTGCACAGTCTACTTTCGTTCCAATAGAGACCTCAAACCTTTCCCGGCATTCAGTCAAGTGATAGCTTTTTGTCTTCAATTACCCTTGCCACACCTCATCGGAACAGAAATTTTGTTCGCGTGAGTTGTACAACCCTATATTTTTTCAAACTTCCAGGGACATTCAATAGAGAGATGCCACAAATGCATCAATTGTTCGCGAGGAACCCAATAACGAAGAAATAATTGCAAAAATATGTGAGGCACAAATGTTGTCCACAAACCATGCACCTTGTACCGAGAGCAACCCGAAAAATTCGAAAAGCGAGGCGCACAAACCTTCGATGTGCGAAGTGCACAAACAGTCGATGTACTTATGATAACACCCCAAGTAGGTCGTCTCCCTGTGTCATATTTGATTTCGCGTTGTTCGTCCCACCGTTCTCTGATATCCTCTTCATGGTTGTTTCATAGGGCCGAAGAAGAAGACGTTCAACGTTTTAATCATTGAGACACTGCCAGGAATAGTGTTTACTTCGTCCCTACATCCTGTAATCAAGTCTCATCAAGAACTGTCGATATCACGTGAGCAGGAGAAGCAACATCATTTCGCTTTCGACTATACTTTCAACTTGAGGAGTTGTTTCAAATGCTTCCCATGAACTTCAATCCCGTCCTGTCCTTAGACGATTTACAATTGTGGCTGGTGTAGAGAAGCTGCATGTATAAAGGCAGAGTATATTGATAACATCTTGGCTCCTGTGCTACTCCTGGCAAGTGCATTGCATCCCGTTATAGAGAACAGCATGTATTAGGATGAGTCATAAGTGCTCGGACAATGTGATATAGTGTGATTTAAAGATCTTAACTTGGGAAAGAGGTAACGAAAATGGACACGCGAGGCATCATTGGATAGAGCATGAAAGGCTCTTTCAAATACATGCTAACGAATACATTTGACCATCTCCGACGAGAGAAAGTGTCATGTCGGCGCGGCAGTCCATGCCTTACTGCTTCAAAGCATGAGGCACCCATCGACCGAGCTTTCGCACCATGTCGGTTGACTTCAATCCACGAATAACTGCAGGCTGCTTCTCCAAGAGTTACTGCCAGTTCATGAGTAGTTTGATACAGACCGCTGGCTTCCACCTGGCTCCGAAGCACGTCCAAATTCAACTCCATTGGGAGTCCCGGGCGGCCCTCATATTCGACGGAATAGTCGTCCGACGTGAATTTCGAGTGCCACTTGTAAATTGTGCATCTACCAGAAGCAACCTTTTCGTAAACTTCCTTCATCGATTCTCGTCTAGCTAAAAAAATGGGATGGTGTTGCGGAGGTGAAGTTGCGACGGTTTGAAATCATGGGGCATGGTTGCAGGGAAGGAAACAGTTAGGTGTGCTCGCTAATATGTATTTGGAAGACTTTTTCATATTCTAGCTAACGATGCCACGCACGTCCATCTTCGTCACCTCTTTCCCAAGTTATGATCACTAGAAATCATCACTATCACTTTGTCCGAGGACTCATGACTCAACCTAATAAGGTGTACATCGTGTGAACAAAATGTGTGCGTCACACATTTTTCAGGTCTCTACTCCTGTGCTGAGTTGTTCTGAAGCATCTTGGATATCTCTGACATCTTTCTGTTGGACGTTTGTTAATGTAAAAAATAGAGCCATGCAACCACGTGTAGAACCACTTTGTCTCGAATAGGTGAGGAATAAGGCATTTTTCCGAACGAACGTCAGGAGAAGTTTTAAAGCCTTCGATTGGACAAAAGAACAATGCGAAAAAGTCTCGACGATGACAGGAAGAAATGCATGCTCCCTCTTCAAAGCGAGCGCTACCATTGCGTCAGGTCAACGCTTGATGTTGGAGCAACGGCGTCGATTTATCTAGGTCTCAATTTTATGTTCCATGTTAGGTAAACGCTCAACCTCTGGCTAATGACCGGTGCTACGCACATTATGCTCTTCGTCCTATTCATCCCATAGTTGACTCGGTACCTTCGAGTGCCTGTTCAAGCAGCTCCAAAGATCGTGGCAGATGCACAGGCATGGAGTAGTGTCATTCTTATATATCTAAGACAAAAACAAACATTCATCAAAACGAAATACACAAACTCTTCTATGCTCACACGCCAATGTATGAAGTAGAAAACTACAAAAGCATTCTGATTTCCTGTTACTTTTTCACTTGCCTTTGATGGTGACAAATGTATCTATTTCTTTTCTCAAATGCGTTACGGTAGAAACAGCTATATAAACTTCCTTCCTGAATCAACAGTGGCCGTGTTTTATCCAGGTTGTGTTCAAGGTACTGAAGTGGAATTACTTTCAGGTCATTCATCCATGGCCTTTTCTTCTCATTCAATACAATTACTACGATTGGACTCGGGAATATTTATGTGAAAAGTCATTTTTACCTAGCCGTGAGTTCAATAAAGTACTGGTCTCAATTTTTGCAGCGCAGCGACGACTAATGAATGTCCCAAATCTTTCATAATCTTCACTACTAGCGTCAAAAGTCATAGGATGCTCGCCCGAGCCTCCGAGCTTGATTTACGTTGTGTGGATAAAGCCTGTTCACAAAGACGTGATTTTCACCTTGCTACACCTCTTCCTCTCTTCCACGAATTGGTATCTAAGTCTAGCGTAACTTTTAGAGTACAATTCCTCAGTGAGACGATATGCTGCAAATCGGTGGGGGGCTTGGATCAATTAGGTAAAGAATAGATAGTCTAGGCGGTCACCTTTACATGAAATAACACCGACCGGACTAATCGCTTTACTTATCACTATTTTACTCTTCCACTCTCAAATTATGTATTACCACTAAAAAATTGATCATCTAACTTATTTATAGGAAATAAATTATTTATTATTAATTAATAATTAATTAATTACTAAATTAAATAAATAATCAATTAATTATTGAATTAAATTAAATGCTCACGTCGGGTCGCTTCCTTCGACCCACCGCTCGACCAGCTCTGTCTAGGAATAGTGTAGTATAACGAATAGTCGTTATGATAGGGATTCCGACACCATCATGGGGATAGCTAGGCTCTAAGGGCTCCAGCCCCGCGGGTTCGCTGCCAGCACGACGATCCAGGACGATCGAAGGATACGACTGACTGGCGAACTTTACACCCCAAGTGGCCGTGAGTGCAGCGTGCGTTCCCGCACGAGCACGGGTAAAGCACGCGGGGTCATGGCGACAGTTATCCGCAGGCGCCAACGTCCCAGGGTTCCTGGTGCGATCCTCGCATTCGCGACACTCACTCCCGCCACCAAAGAACCACTTATGGGCCTCGGTCTCAGACCCCCGTCTGGGGGCCTAGCGCACGGCAGTTGCATGGAACCCCTTGGGAAGAAGAATATGTCGACATTATTTTTTTCAACTGGTGCAGCGGCGGCAGTCTAAGAGAGAAACTCGACCTCTACTCGTTAGTAATTGACAAATCGCAGCTACAGCTAACAATTCGCACGTACGGTTACCAGTGAGAAACAGCATCGATAAAATATGTTAGAACAACAAAGACAGAAAACAAAAGAAGTGAGTTAGTAATGACAGCGGAGTAATGGATGAAATGTACTGTAAGAGCTATGACGTAAGGCACCGGAAAGAACTCATCGACAGAAACGGAAGTACCCTAAATTCACGACTGACATCCGAACGTCAAACCTAAAACATCGAAAACTAGAACAGCGAGTAGGTTAGAAACGAAGGAGCAATTCTAGGAAAAAATTATGAGTCGTAAAAGATCGACGTAATGATTTCGACAAAGAATATGAAGACTGAAAGCCTCAAACTGCAACACCTAATCAAGTGAGTTACACCTTCTGTCACTCTAGCTTACCATCTGGCCTCCTACGTCGGAACGATTCGCCGACCTACATATATTAATAAACTGTATCGCGTAATCTAGGTGTATAAATCACGGTCGTCACCCGGATCGTCGAGATCGTATTCTGAATTACTCAGTCTGTACTAAAATCTCAAACTGAATAATCTGTTGTACGACGGAGTTAAATGTTTGGATTACTGGATTATAAAGACACATGGAATATTTTGCATTATTTGAAATATATTACATCTTCTCCGTGTATTACTTAATGTACTGCATTGTCTTCAGTGCATTATTTAAAACTGAAAACTTTATTTATTTGAATGTATTGGGTTGTCCGGAAACTTCCCGCCGATTTTCGACGCCCCGGATTTATCAACTGTTGTACAAAAGATGAAGGACCCAACCTCATAAAGTTATATGTTTTCTGAAAGAGAAGATCCTCCTCTACATTCCTGTTAAGATTCTGTCAACATTTGTCGAAGTTTGACTGTACAGGACTCGTATGAATGGAGAACCACTGCGCGCATTTTCGGTATGCGAAATATTCCTTCTACCACAAAGCCTAGAATGCGGCCCCAGCCGCATGATAGACATACGATGTTTGAGTAGATCATGCTCTAGAGGAAAGTACAGTGCATGACTAGTTTACGAAATCCAATCAGAGTGGATTTACCCTCGAAGACCGGCAACCCTCAGGGATACTATCATCAGTT